CCCCCCCGAAATATTCAACAGTACCCTGAATTTTATTTGTCTGCAGATTCTATGCCTTTATCCAGGTTGCTGGTAAAGATGTGAAATGGTATTAATCCCAGTATCAGTCCCTGAGGAGCACCACTAGGACCTGGATATTAGCTGGACTTTATACCATTTATAATTACCCTTTCAGCTAGTCTTCGCCCCACTTTACTGTCCACTTGCCTTGCATCAAAGGCCCTGCTATAGTCAAGATATAAAATACATAGTGCTCCCCTTACCCATACACCCCATGATCTCATGATATGACACAGTGGGGTTGTTGAGGTCCATGCTAAATTCACGTTGGCTGTTTCTAGTCATCTTCTTACCCTTTATGTGCCTAGGAATGGCTTCCAGGAGGATTTGTTCCATAACCTTCCCAGGCACTGACATTAAGCTGACTGGCCTCTAGGGCCCTGAATGCTCTTCTGCGCCCTCCCTTGAGATGCGTGTGGCGCTTACCTCCCTCTGGTCATCAATAACCTTCCCCAGTCACCATCCTTTTGAAAGGGAGTGTCCTTTGCATGACATTGTCCCCATGGTTCATGGGCTTCTATGTGTCCCATTGACTTAAGTACTACCTTCTTGCATCTGCCTTTATGGCAAGTGGTGCTTCCTCTACACAGATTCTGCTGATAGTTTTTGCTCCAAGCTGGTAGAAGGTGAGCAAGCTCTAAGCCAAATACATTGAATCATTCAATATAATAAATCCCTATGAGTGCACAGTGCTGTCAGATCAGAACTGGCATTTCACCAGTTTAAATCACAGATAGAATGAGCATCTATAAAAGAGAAGGGTCTGTGTAGGGATTGTACATCTGAGGAGGAAGATAAAAATATAGAAGTCAAGTACAGTGCTCTTTTCCACAAATGAGAAACACTCGAGCACTTTCATGAGGTTGATTTAGTGTGGAGCTTTTTGTGAGTGTGTCCTGTTCCAAATAATAGTTTAACAGTACAGTAATGGTCCAGAATGTGCTTTTGCAAAGCAAGCCAGAATAGGAATGAAGTGAAACTGTACTTTACACAGAAGGATCTCTTACAAAAACTATTGGTTATAGGGTTAGTGTTTCAGTTGAAAAGGCTGATAATGCTGAACAGAAAAATAAATAATAAATTTCTCTTTTTATTTCATGTAATAGATGTGGAAGTGGCTGTGGATTATATGTATATATAACTTTCATCCAGTCTTAGTAAAAGGCTGGCAAACAATGTAATGTAAATACCATCACAGATCAACACTTCTGAAGGCATTCATGGATGCTTTTCTTTCTAGCAAAGAGAAATCAAAAGTTTGTTTAGTAAGAGCTGCAAACCTTACGGCAGTTGTGGTATCTCTGGAGACAGCAATTTTCTCTGAGCATACAACTGAAACACAAATGGTCTTGCAAATCATTAGTGTTGGAAATTCTTTATTATTTTTTGTAACTCTGTAAGAAGTGTTCAGAAGTTCATACAGGAACATATTTAAAGTTAGATCAAGCCTTAGTAGAAATTAGCACCTCCCTGCTTGTTACATTAAATATCTTTGTGTTTATATACTTTTTGTTTAAAAAAACCCAACAAAACCAAACTTCTGGTCCTAATTGTGAGATACCAGATTTTTTAAGATCAGTAATTTGATTCTTTTTAGAACTAAAAAAACACACCAAAAATCCAACCCGTTTTGAAACTTTTTAAAAATTGCTTATACAGTAGGTACAGTGGGTGGTTTTTTCACTTTCTGAAAAGGGTCACTTGTAAGATATTAGATGTTTGTTATCTTTTCTCTGATGAAAAATTAAGTATCTTGTTAGTTTGCAATGAAAGAAAGGTAGTTCTTTCACATTTACACCAGAGTAAAGGCAAGTCCAGAGGCATTACTGTGGAGCAACTGATGTGCTGTCAGATCATATCCCAGCTGACCCTCTGGTACATTACTTGCTCATCCATGTGCATTGCCACATTGCAGTAGGGCTTCTATGATGTCTTTGCCTGTGAGAAGTAAACCACTAAGTAGTTATATATTTACATACTCAAGCACATGCCTTGCGTTATTCCATGTAACCATTCTTAGGGTGCCAGGTAACATCATCACCATGGAGTTAGCTACAGTGGTATCTTTCAGTACAGACTGATCCACTGCAGTTTGGTTTGAGAGCTTTCACAGTGTCTCCAAAAGACAGATTTGAGGAAGCAGTGCCTTTAAGACGCACTTACTCCTCTAATGCTGATGTGGGTGTCTTGCCTTTACATTGACCTGACCAGTAGCTAGTAGAAATGCATATCACAGTTGTCCTCATGTTTCTATATGCAATGTATAAGTTACAAATCTTTAAATCTGTGCATTTAGACTCTAAGGTGGAGAAATTTAACTGCTGAATGTTACTTGGATGTTGGAAAACATTGAATCTGCTTGAGGATGGGTTAAGTCTTTGCTTGTCGAATGCTTGAGCAGAAATTGCCTGCCTCTGTTACCTTGGTGCTTTTGGCCATATGCAAGAGTTAAAGTTTCCAAAAATTTGGAAGATGCGCACAGCTCATCTAGTGACAAGAAGGCTGAAATATTTCTCCATTTGAACTGAGGACTGAGAAATCCATGAGCTGCAGAAGAGTTTTATATCTGAGAAACTTAAAGCTAGTTTTGAAAGTCTCTATAAATTTCCACATCCTGGTATCTCTTGTGCAGAGAGCCTCTGTCTATTAGGTAGCTTTAGGGTGAGGTTCTTGGGGAGCTGTGAAAGTTGTCAGACCATACCTTGGGAGGGGGACTTTGAGGCCAGAAGGCAGATGTTATACACAGTCTTCTAAGTCTGCCTGAAACTGCACCATGCGGGTCTGGATTTTTTGTTTTCTTGATTTGTGTGGGTGATCCACGTCATCAGCAAATCCTTGGCAATTTCCAAGCAAGCAAAAAGATAATGGAGCAAGTACTTGAGCTTGGAGGGTCCTGTTGAATTTTGCTGTAAGATTATTGACTAATGACTAAAACCAAATCGAAGTAATGGAAGAGATTGACTTTAATTTGTCCTATCACTGAGAGTCAATTCCTGTTCATCATCAAAATTTCTTCACCCCAGACTGTGGGCTGTAGTTGCTTCAGCAGAAGAATGAAGCAAAACTCAGTAATGACAAGTGTGTGTTTGAGGTATTTTATTTCAGTTCATTTCAGTTATTAAAGTAGCAGAACAGGAAGTCTAACTGACAGAAGGTTTCAGACTTGCTTGAGCTTTGTCATGTTACACGATTTGCGTGTATTTGCTTCCTTCTGAAATTGAAGAGATAACTTACTTGCTCATTAGACTGCTTTTAACTGTGCAGCTCAGAGAAACTGCTAATATTACATTTTAAAGTGGTGACTGCTTTGAAAACATGATGCCTTATATTTGTGGGAAAGTTAAATTATGGTATTAATACCCATAAATAAAGAGTATGATGCTGGCCATCTCCTTGATTAGTGTTTTTATAAGATCCTTTCTAATGGAGCAGTGTCCTGTAGGGTACTGTTTTAATTGATGTAAATTTGTAAACTTAAAATCTATTAATATCTGTTGATTTGCCAAGTTAAGTTCATGCAATGAAAATGCAGTTTTATATTAGTAGCCAGATAACTGTTTATAGTCTCATTTTTTCTGCTGCTTATTTGTCATCAACTCAGGTAATTTCTTATAAGTGTTAGTATGTGATCTTTTTACATTTATACTGGAGTATTGGTTTTGTGTGTGTGCATAGGATGTGTGCAGTGACATTAGTTTTTATCTATAAGCATTTTTAATTGAAATTCTAAATAGAAACCAAGCATAATGCAGATAATTATAGAACTTCATGTATCCCAGCTTATAAACAGAATTAAAAATGGAAAGCCACCATTTGCAATGTATTTTTGTGTTTTGTATACAAAACTTGTCAGGAATCATAGTTTTGAAATGCAAATCCTCGATGTATTTTCAGCTTGGTTTGCTTTCATTAGAGAGGATTACTTTAGTGATTTATGCTGGGAAGCATTTACGGACAATTGAAGAGAGAATTGCTGGTCCCTTGCAGCAGTGTGTGATCTCCTTGGTAGACTGCTCAGGTGTGCAGCACCTGCCTGCAATCCATCTCCCCTGGATCCTGCTGGAGGGATGAGGGAGAGGACGCTGCTGTTGGTCTCTTAGGTCATACTTAGGGGGAAAGGGGAGGAAATGTTGGTGTGGGTTGTATGGCGTGTTGGGAAGAATGGAGAGTATTGCGAGGAAGGCTTCTTGGTGGTAATGTCCGGGCATAATTTGTATGGGGCATTTGTACAGACAAACTTCATGGGAAAATGAGTTTTATTCTGATACTTCTTGTTAGTGAAAGTGTTAGCTTTCAGATGGAAAATACTGCTGCCCAACTGAAAGAAGAGTGATAATATTCAAGTGTCGTGTGCCACATTCAGTTTACTGTCTTGATTTCATTGCTCAAATGTTAAGCATTGATTTAATTACTGATGTTCTTATTTTCTTCAGCATTCCAACCCAATTAATTTGTTTTAGGAGATGGTTTAGTGGTTAGGGGTTGTGACTTTATGATCTTGAAGGTCTTTTCCAACCTTGATGATTCTATGAATGACAGATTATATATAATGGTAATTGTTTCACAGCTTGAAACTGTAATGCCACTATGTAACAGTTTTTTTTGTTTACTCTTGATTTTTCTTTGCATTCATAGCACTGGAAGGTAGTACTTGAGAATCACGATTTCTAAAACTTTTGAATCACAGAATATACCCCTTCCTGTGGAATTCTGGAAGGGAATTCCAGAAGCTGCAATGATTTCACTTCTGCATTAGGTCTGCTTACTGAAAACTCTACAAAAAACATCTTTGTGCTGAGACTATACTTTTTTTTTTCTTCAGTATTCTTATTTCTGTCCAGATATTAATGTATGAAATAGCATCTGAACTACTTATTTTCTTCTTTTCCAGGCTGCTGAATCAGGAATAATAAAAGTGAAAACAATAGCTGCACGGAACACTGATATTTTGGCAGGTAATTATTTGACTTGCAGTGGGAAAAACAAACTTGGGTTACAGATCAAAATGCTAAAAAGATATTTTGCATATGTGTAATAAGCTTACATGTCTTCTAGTGTGCACTGTAAGAGTGATGGGCACCTGTTACTTTTGGGCACCTAGCAAAAAATCCAGTACCATGAGAATTTTTTAATACTACTTCCATTTCATGTTAGTGCTATACTGATGCTGAGGAATGTCTCCATTTTCAGTTGTGGATCTACAAAAGTAACCATCCACTTTAAAAAAAGCATGAAATGCTGAGACTCCAAATTCTCAATTTTTTATTCACTGTCTGCGTTCACCACAGCTGTTGTTGAGTGCTCTGTGCGGAGTTCTGCAGTATGATCCTCATCTGTGTGTTTAGTATGAGAGTCTTTGGAGACTTGTACCTGGCAGGCAAAAATCCATCTAAAGCTGAGACAAGGTCATTCAATTTGAGATGTAGCATTGCCTTGAGGGACAGGAGGTATCTTTTGAGTTGCGGCTTTGTAAGTGCTTAAAATGGTATAACTGACTTTCTTCAGCTCTGTTAAATACGATGGTTTCTTGCCAGTTGCTGGTAAAGCCTTTGGCCAGGTTTGAGTGTCCCTGTATTAATACTTAAGCATCTACCCCAACTGTAGTCAGAATCCTTAAAATGCTAAATTATTTGAAATATCCAAATGAAACAGAGGTAGAACTATTTCTTGTTTTAAGGTATGTAAATCTGATACTGGTCAGGAGGCGCTTTCTAGAATTATTTGAAGTAGCAGTCCCATCCCTCAGTATTTCACTTTAATGCCTCTTTTTTATTTATTTTCTTTGTTTTTACTGCTGTCATGAATGCTGACATAAGTGGGAAAACTATGCCAGGTAATGTCAGCTATATCAAAATACAAATGAACAAGAGAAATCTCTAGTTAGTCATTTGGGAAGTTGTCAACATTCTTTGGCATATCACTGTATAAAGAACTTTCTATTTCAGAAAGCTAACTTTTAATCCTGCAAAATCGTTTGGTTTTGGTCTTTATTTCAAAGTGGAGGTTATTGATTTTGGCATGGAGAGGCAGTCTTCTGGTTTTTTTGAGGTAGTTGGTTAAATTTTGGTAGTTGGTTAAATTTTTGTATTTTTATTTTTGGAAGGTTTAAACTTGAATGTAGTTAGTATTTATTTAATTTATTAAAAAACCTGCCCGGGTTTGTTGTTATAAGGTTTGGAAAAACAGCAAGTTCTAAAGGTTCTTTTGATTAGTTAATTTTGCTAATAGAATGATAACTTTTTTTCCCAGTAAGAAACTGCAGAACAGAGGGGATCATGTACTTTACTTGCACATTATCTTAACATTCCACAGTTTAAATGTAATGCCATTAAACAGTCCCAATTCTTTATGGACTCTTTATTTTTTGAGGTAGCAATTGTAACCAAATCTTGTAGATAAATTAATGTCAAGTTCTCTGTTGTCTTCTATCTGCTATTTATATTTTTGGGGGGGAAGATAGTATGGATACTTTAGTAATAATGAAGCTGCAGAAGGCTACTGTAAGTGTGAAATCAAGAGAAGCAGATACTTTTTGACTGCTAGGTGATTTAGGAACATCTACTAGACATTCTAGTAATCCAGATAAGTATTTTGATCAGCATATGATTTTTCTTCCTATTTTGAGGTAAACTGTCATCTCACTAAGACAGGTGAGAACAACTGTATCACAATGTTTTGAAAAAGCTGACCTGATGCATTCTTGAAGCAGTACACTCTGTAGAATTACAATTATTAGGAACATATATGCAATTTTAAAATGGCAAATACACAGAGGTAATATTATGTCTGGTGAGATGTGTTTAAATTGCCGGAATGCTGAGGTCATTGACCTAACATCTTTCTCTTGGAAAAGTTAAGTTGAGCTGTTTCAAAGTCCATTCATGTTAGTCTGTACATGCTTTATAATTTATTTAAGAGGATTTGAGTAATTCCAAAAGAGAAGTCGGCTTGTGCTTTATATTGCAGGAGGTAAATTGTTTGCACGTGGCTCTGAGGTGTGCAATTCATACTTTTGTTTAAGAAGTTGTTGTTTTTTTAAAAAAAATTAGAATTAAAATCTTGCTGATGCAATGATGGATTAAGTTTTACTTTTCCAAAACTTATGTTTCTATACGGTTCATTATGATAGATTTCTTTTAAAATATATTCTTACATAATATTGGTACCAAAATAGAAGCAGAAATGGAAAAATTGTGTGCTATTAAAGATTGAAGCTATTATAGTGATTGGTACCAAACCAGGTCTACAAAACATTATTTTTTCTGCTTCATATAGTAAAATTCCTTGTATAGATTCTGTTCTGAGCTTATTTTTTGTAATGGATTATAGGAGAAATACTGTAAAAGGTTTAAATTAATTTTCACGCCATATTTGCCATTCAGAACTTTATTATGAGTTTTATGTTAAGGATGAGAAGTTTGTGGTATCTTTTTAAGTGTTGCTTTCTTTTTTCTGCATAATGGTTAGCATTGAATAGTAATTAAGAAATTTATATGAGTGAAGAAGCATTTGTACCCATGTTGGAGTGAACTCTCTAGGATCTGTTGGCCATGTGTTGTAGATGTTCATAGAGTATAAAAGCAGCTTAGACATCTGGCTCGCATGTAGACAATTAGATGCCGCTGGCAGGAGAGGTCCAGGCTCACGGCAGGGGAGTTGGAACTAGATGATCCCTTCCAACTCAAGCCATTCTGTGATTCTGTGTCTAAAAGGCATGTCTTAATTGGGAGCAAACTTCAGTTTTTCATGAAGTACCTAATGTTTTGTTTTAATTTGAAAATGACTGTTTCGTAAGAGAGTAGTATTAGTGGATAACATTTATACGCATATTTTAAAAGCAGGTTTATTTGCTTCATAATTAAGTTAAAAAAACCTGTGGAAATCAAAGCAGGTTGTTAAACAGGCAGTGGAACTGTATTAATGCACATTTGATTTGACATTTTAATTTTTTTTCATGACGCATTTAGTGAAAGGTTGGCCTCTGTCAGCTGGACATAGAGCCTGTACTGGCTCTGAAGAGACTGACAAAAGTATGGACTATAAATCTGTTAATACTACCCTGTAAGAGCTATTATAAGTTGGCATATATAATTTATACTAGCCTATTCTTTTCATAGAAGCTTGCTAGTCATGTTAGTCCTTCAGTTGAAAAAAATCACTAAAATACATTTTTATAGCTTTTACTTTTATGTTTAATTTTTATTTTTTTTTTGCAAAACAGTTTTAGTGATAAATAATAAACTTCCTGGGACCCAAACTCAAATTGCACAATAGAAGAAATAAAATAGATAATGTTGGCATTTTTATGAGAGACTGTATTTTTTTGTTTGTTCGTGGCAAGATCCATTGTCTAAAAATGTTTTTGAAATATTTCCATTAACACATTTCTCCTATTACACGTAGACACTATGTCATACAGTGTATGACATTCAGTGTAAGAACATACATTGAACTTTTCATCTCTGAGGAAGTTCTTAGTGTCTGAAATGGCGATGAGCAGCTAAAATCTTAAAACTTTGCATGGATGAATAACCACTCCTGCAAACAGAAAAGCTGTCATAGGAGTAATGCTTTCCTTTCATCGTCCAGAAATATTTTCTTCCTTTTTAATTTTATGAAGTTTATCTCAGGCTTCTAAAATTACATTTATGGAGGAGAACTTTGTAAAATGTCAGTGTGGAATCTTGTATTCATTGTAAAGTGCTTTTTTTCCTGGAAAAAAAAACCCAAACCAAAAAGTTGATGAAACTTCTGTTTTCTCCTGACAAAGCTTTGTTTTAAGAAACTGCCTTTTCTCACTAAAGCAGTGGCTGAAAAATTTGCGGCCAGGTGTATGTACCCAGAATATGAACAGTCCAGTGTCTTTCTCCTCTTGTTTTGTCAGTGACATTTTACTTTATGCCACGTGCTTTGATACGTGTCTACGTGCCTTGCTTTGTATTGCTTTTGAATTTGATACCATGTGGAAGTAAAGCAGGAGGGGGAGGCTACCAACCTGAGGCTGGTCACTGTCACAAAGTTCTGGAGTGGGCAGAACCTTACAGATTCTTATTAACCAAATGGACTCTAAATGGCCAATTTGTATTTGGAAAGAGAAAGTCACTTGAGAGTGTAGAGGAGAAGGTGCTTGGGATTTGAGCCTCAGCTGAGGTAATTGCAGAAGTGAGCTATGGCAGCCCAGTGTCTGTCTTCACTTGGTTTTTCCCTGTGGTGCAAGAGTAAATCCCACATTTCCAAGACTGGATGTTGCTTTTTGTTAACGGGTATGATGAGCGTGTTTTACATTGTATTCTTCAACGTACCAAACATTGAGTTCTTCCATATCTCTTTTTGAAAGCATTGAAAGAGAACAGCTCAGAGGTAGTTCAGCCTTTTCTAATGGGTTGTGGAACAAAGGAACCAAAGATCACTCAGCTGTGTCTAGCAGCCATACAGAGACTCATGTCCCATGAAGTTGTTTCAGAGGTAAGATCAATCTTTATATAAATACAAAAATATTTCAGTGTGAAAAATACAGGTGTCTAACTGCAGGTGAATGTTTTAATTTTTTTTAGGAGGCTGTTTATATTCTAATGAACATAGGCTGCAAAATACTTAACTCATACTGTAATTTAAAATAAAACCTTTTTGACCAGGAAAGAGGAACAGAAAGAGGTGAGGAAACATTAGTAAGCTCTAGAAGGAAATTAATGAAAATTCAAACCATCTCATTTAGTTTGCAGTCTCACACTACAGGATCAGAACATGTAATGGTCCTTGATAAATATAATTCCTAGGGTGGCATCCACAAAATTCTGTGTGTTATCATTATGTATTATGTTTTTCATGCAAGTTACTTTTAAAATTAAGATAAAATTGATGCATGGTTTCTCCAACTGTAAATGTCATGTTATGGTACTGCATATATAGTGTGTTAAGAAGCTGATGAAAATAATACCGTTAAAATACGCTTTCAGTTGTGCTTGGATAAATTTTGAGGGTAAAATGTGTTTGTACTGCCTTTTCTTTCTGGAAAATTAAGTACACACTTTAATTTGGACTACACGTGAAGAGGTTTCTGTCATCAGTTCTTTATGGATATTTTGGGAAGCTTATCACACTGAATTTTGGTTTATGTTCTCAGTGTGATCGTGTGGTATAGACAAACAGGCGGATTCAGTTATGATACACATTTATGAGAGTGCTATTCTTCCATGTGTAGACATGATGTTACCAGTATGTAAGCATCATAATTGTTTTAAAATATCATTTCTTTGTAGGCTGCAGCAGGAAACATTATTAATATGCTTTGGCAACTGATGGAAAATAGTCTTGAAGAACTTAAATTGCTTCAGACAGTTCTTGTACTTTTAACAACCAATACAGTTGTGCATGATGAAGCACTATCCAAGGTAAGAATTTGTTAGTGCCAACTGAAGTACTTACCAGATCCTAGAGGAAATATAGTGAGAAATTTTACAAATTAAGCATTTGGAAGTAGTGGAAGGGAGAGGCTTTTTTGATTGATGTGTCTTTCTTGTCTTTATATCTAGACTCTGAAAACAGGGTTTGTTTTAGCTTCCTTCTGTATTTTTTTTTTTTAGCATGCAATCTGTATTTTAATTCCTCCTCAATAATAGTTTTCTTAATCACAACTTTAAATAACAATATTGGGCTAATGCCTGTCCTTCTTACCTGCTAAATTGATAATATGCATGTTTTGATAGTGAAATCAGAGCACACAGCACAGTGTAAGCTCTCTCTAATAAAGCAAGTATTAGAAGAAGCTGCCTGCCACCCTGCCTTAAATCTTTTTTTTGGAAGCAGTCCAGTTACTGCTTTTTCAGTCAGAAGAGGGATAATTTTATTCATTATTTTAAATGTACCATTTTAAGTAAGATAGAAAATAAAGATTCTGATCCATTTTCACTTCAAGTTATAAGGTACTTGTCTTTGAAGTATCTTATATTAAACATTTTTACTGATCTGTGAATTGTGAAGATCTGTCTAAAGTCAGTTGCTCTTCTAGGTTACATTTTATAATTTTTTTTCTTCAACTTAAGAAAGATACTTTGATTTAAATTATTCTAAGTTGCTGGGGTTTTATTATGCTGTACTATCAGTGTATTGGTTTAATAACAGAGTGATTTATTTTTTTTTTTGAGAGAGAGAATACAATTGAAAAATTTTGAAAACATACCCTTCTGGTGGAAAGTTTTCAGTTTTTCTTTGCATCTGGTTTTAGTGAAATAACTTCCTAGCTCTTTAAATGTGTTGGGTATTAAAATCATTATTAATCTGCTTAACCAAGGGAAGAAAAAACATGAAAGGAAAATGGAGCTAAAGATCTGCGTAAGGCAGGAGAATAAGAGAAAATGTATAAAACATATAAATGGCAGAATAGAAACTACTTCTCATCACTGCCCTCATTTATTCTTCTTCCCCTGCCTCCATATATCCCCTCTCTCCTTCCCTCCCTCTCTCTCTCATGTTAAGAAACTTCCTCCTCCTTTTGGACACCAATCACAAGAGCATGTGGGTACAGCAGTGTCAAATAACTCAGGAAAGTCTTTCCCAGCATGTCTTTTTCTTATGTCCTGATCCAGAAGCATGGCCACATAATACAAATACTGGAGAATCTAATTGCTGTACTTCTAAACATTTCCTTAGTGCAAGTTAAAATTTAGTACATTGAGACATCTAGTAAAATTTGGGTAGGCTCTGACAGGGGTAAGAAAAAAACATTCCTGACAGAGCTTTGTCCTGTGAAATTTCTTGATGTTGTCCAAGCCTGAAATTACTAGAGTTTCTCACTTAACCAAATATAAACAATAATTGACGTGGGCTAAAATTTAGCATTTGTTTGTTTGTTTCCCTTAAGATTCTTTTGAGGAATGTCTGAAAGGTGGTGTATTTAATGTTGAAAAGTTCCTAGAGAAAATCAGTTTGAGCCATACCTATGTTTCAGCTTGAAGAAAATTACTGGCAAACCATCTGGAAAAGCCCTCTAATGCAGGCAAATACTGTTAGATTTACCTAGAGAATAATGCAGTATCTTCTGAAAGTCCAGAGGTGTATGATTGTGGTGTGAAAATTCAGATTCCATGGAGAAACCATCTAGGCAGAGTCCACAAATCATTTACATGAAAAAGAAGCAAAACAAAATTCTGAATCTTCTATGGCTCAGAGCATGGCTGGGTGTGATTGAGGTTCATGCAAGTGCAAGAGACCCAAACAAGGACAAAAGAACAAGAAATACAGGTTTCACTGCACATACAGATGTTCGTTTTCAAAATTAAGTATTAATTAAGTATTCAACTGTGTGTTAGAAGTAATATGAAATCCAATGGGAAGCAGTATTCAGATCACTGCCAGCACAGTGACACATTAAAACATGCACCTTAGAGAGGAATAATTGCAGTCTAGGCAATGTGGTTGTAAAAGTATTGGGATATAATGTAGGAGAGGAATGGCATTTTAGCTTTGGAGTTGGCTGACCTTTCTGTGATTAACTGTGTAATCCTAATACCCTTTTGACATTAGTATTCATAGAAGTTGTTTTATGTGGTTGATTACTGTGTATTCTCTGTATGATGATTGTAGTTTTATTGGCACATCATAATGTCTTCAGTTAATACCACTTCTAGATTGCCTTTGGGGAGGATTAGTAAAGAGATATTTGGCTAGGATAAGCCATAAAACTTATTTTATATTTGAAAAGCCAGAATGATTAAAACAATTTTTTTTCAGGCAACCTTCTGACAAACTGTAGTGGAGAACCTTCCTCAATCAAGTGTCTTGACTCTTAGCTAAGAGGTGAAAATATATTGTTGTAAGGTGATTATTTTTTTCTCCCCCCTTTCAGGCCATTGTACTTTGTTTTCGATTGCATTTCACAAAAGATAATATCACAAACAACACTGCGGCAGCCACGGTGCGGCAGGTCGTTACGGTGGTGTTTGAGAGGGTGGTCGCTGAAGATGAACGATACAAAGGTGGGTGTGCTTCTTGCTCTCCTTGCTGGTATTAACCTGTTTTCTGCACCCACATCAAAATGTGTGTCGATTTTTCAGATAAAGTAGTAGAAAGTCTATAAATACTACTTACAAAGTCACAGGCTTTATTCTTTTTTGCTGTCTTTATACATTTACTTGCATTCAAAGTAGATGAAATCCTTAGCCATTGTGTCAGTCCATGTCACTACAGCAATATGTAAAACCTAGGTTTTTTCAAGCATTGAGAACTTCTCTTCAGGTTAGTATTGTGAAGGAATTTGAGGTGAAATTGTCATTTAAGGTGAAGATAACTGAGGTTACTGTGAAATACATGGTGGTAATATTTTTTAAGAGAACTTCAGTTGGAAAGAAATGCTTGGTGTTGCTGATCTTTGGTATTCAATCTAATGTTTATTTTCGTAGACATGATAAGTTGCAGAAGAACCACCTGGTCATCCTCCTAGAATCTTTTTAAGAACACTTAAAATGTACTTGATTTTCAAGAGTTCCTTTGTTCACAAAACTGTTTTTCTGTAACACAGATACTGTTGACCAGCCAGTTGCAGTTCAAGGAAACAGTAACAGAAGATCTGTCAGTACACTGAAGCCATGTGCTAAAGATGCATATATGCTTTTTCAGGTAGTTGGGAGCTTATATTTATACATTTGCAGTTATGATTGGGTTCTTGTTCATCTCTGTAAGAAACAGCAAAACTTTGCTGTTGACACATTGACAAGGCCCTTGGCCAGAGGCTCAGTCTTTCTTATGTGCATTTATTGTAATTGGCAATGTATGCTGTATCCCAGGGGGATGATTGGAAGATGAAGACAAAGTGGCCTAGGAAAATCTTTTACTATATATCTTAAATAATAGCTAAGCATGCATGTCTGCATTAAAATCAATATTATTTTTTCCATGAGCCAAACACTGCTGCTGTAGTTCAGTATTGCTTCTTGGGCTTGGTATTGTTTATTGAAGTGGAATAAAGTAGTAGCTGTATTCATCTCACCAATAAAATCTTCTTGCCTTAGCAAATTGGATATTTTTGAGGGCTGGAATGAACACAATTCCTAGAAGGATAACAGCAGAGTTTAATAATTCTTTTAAAAGGTTTTTGCTTAATAATTTATGTAAAAGAAGTATCTCAGGAAAAGTTATGTTGAAATTGGAAAATTATGCAGGGAGAGGAAGAAAGTGTAGATCTTGTTGTAGACTTAGAAAACTTATGCCAGTACAGGAATGTGCACAGAATGTAAATGTTATTGTATTTCTTTTTAAGGATCTTTGTCAGTTAGTTAATGCTGATGCTCCCTATTGGCTCGTGGGTATGACAGAAATGACCCGAACATTTGGCCTTGAACTTCTTGAGTCAGTCCTCAATGACTTTCCTCAAGTCTTTCTACAGGTGAGTAGTTCTTGGAGAGAAAACTGGAACACTTTTGTTCACAGGACTAGTAAAATTTATGCTTCATTGACTCCTCTTTAATTTAGTATGAGTACTACTTTCCAAAAGTATTTGCAGCTTGTACCTGTTGGGTTTTTATGATAGAAAAGTACTGTGTTCTTTTTGCCCACTTTTTTCTGTTCTCATACACTTGGTTTGTGTTGTGTATTTTGTAGAGCGTATCATATTCTGTTTCACTCTTTGTTTTCCCATTTATATATCCTCAGAAGATGCATTTTTTTATCCTGCATGATATATGACAGCTTTGTGGCATTGTTATTTCTATGAAAACTGTAACCTCACCCCACTTGCAAAGCAGGAGGAGTCATAACTAGGACTTGTGTGGATCTACTGCATATAAATAACACATTTTTGCTAAGAGTATCTAGACTAAAAATTAAATATCTAATAAATTATGTATTAGCGGCCTATTTTAATTTGCAAAATACAAGAAGAGGGGTGCATGGTATGAACCTGGCCATGTCATTTCCTCATAGCTTGTTAATGGTGTCTGCCATTCTTCCTTTTCATTTCCTGATTGTGTAATTTATACCAAGATTTACATGACTTTAGAGGGCTTTATCATAACAGTAAATGTAAATAAGATGCATCATCAGAGCTGCTGGTAGCAATTAAATTTGGTTATAATTTGTGCTGTTTTCTCTTTCAGCATCAGGAATTCAGTTTTCTTCTTAAAGAAAGGGTGTGCCCTCTTGTTATAAAGCTCTTCTCCCCAAATATCAAATTCAGGCAAGGTTCCAGCACGTCATCTTCCCCAGCACCAGTGGAAAAACCATACTTTCCCATCTGTATGCGTTTGCTAAGAGTAGTTTCAGTTTTGATTAAGCAGTTTTACAGTTTGCTGGTAAGAATATGGTCAGATTTTCTTTATGCAATTGTTTTTCTATGTGTATGCCAGTACTGTGATCAGTAATAGTATTAATTAGTTCTTGGGAACTGTTGACATACACTGAGGGGAAAAAAGATCTAATTCTCCTTTCTTATGTTTATTTGTGTTTACATGTTCTATATGTATGATTTTATTAAACAAGGGCTTCTGTAAATTCTCAGAGTAGATCAGCTGTTATCTTTTCTTACTCGACTAAGGTTAAGTTAAGGTTTTGGGAGCCTTTTGATCTTAAGTTGTTTGCCTGGGATTAGGTAATGTTGATTGCTGTGCCATGTTAATAATTGGTGATAGGCAATTATTATAGGCAATAGACTTGTGTTGCTAAAGCTGTTGACATCATTTGCATAAAAACCACATGTTCAGCTGTTCTTACCTCCTAAGCAAACTTGCTAAAAAAATTTATTTTCCGTATCGTTTGTTCACTGCAGCACATGTAAGAACTGCAATATCTGTGAGGAATTTAACTCCTTTAATATAATTGCATATGTGGTGTTAGCTTGGCAAAAATGTTACGATTTTTAGTTGTTTCTATATAATTTTGAATAAATGCTCATTGGAGGAGTTTTTTAGATCCTGTGCAAGACTTAGGTAGTACTCCTAAGATGAAACAAGTTTCTTTGAGAAAATATTTTGCAGAAGGCTTTTTCTTTTAATTTAATGGCTATAAACTGTGTCTTTTAGGTAACAGAATGTGAAATTTTCCTCTCATTGCTGGTTAAGTTTCTGGATGCAGACAAACCACAGTGGCTAAGAGCTGTTGCAGTGGAATCCATTCACAGGCTTTGTGTGCAACCTCAGCTGCTACGGTATTAAATATATTGAGTTTCACCTTTACTTAAAATTTAAGAAATCTCAAGGTTTTTTTAATGGAATATATAAATATATCAAAACTTAAATGCAATAAATTCTTCATGATAATTTTAAATAAAGCATTAGGCAATGCTCATTATTCAGAAAGGCTGAATTATAGTTATTTCAGTGTTCCAAAACCTCTCTGTCTTACTGGTGTCAAAGGAGCATTTACCAAAGATGACATTTTATCATTCACCTAAGTATTTGTAGTTAAAATGTGCTGTTAGTCTACAGTGTGAAGGGGGAGGGAAGTTGATGTTAAAATATGCCTTTAGATCCTAGTTTTTAAAATACTTATTTTAGCTTATAAAATATTTTTCAGGTCCTTTTGTCAGTCATATGATATGAAACAACATTCCACTAAAGTTTTCCGTGATATTGTGAATGCACTGGGCTCCTTCATCCAGTCACTATTTCTTGTACCAAACACAGGGAACACGTCAGTGGCACCAAGCCAAACTGGTAAAGCCTTGTACTTACTGTATGTTTCATTTTCCAGCATGTTTTGGTCACAATAAGTTCTGGTTTGATTCAGTGTATACATTTGGCTTGGTACAGTTCTGTACTTCCATGTTCATTACTGTGAAAAGCTAGCTTAAGGCAAACCAGTGTTTTCAGGTCTGATACCACAGGCAATTTTTTCTACCAGTATTAGGGAGAAGACTGTGTCTGAGGTAAGGCTCTCCTTGTTGTTCTGGAAGCAGAGGCCTCTGCAACATACAACACAAATAATTTCGGAGGGTATCTTTTGTCATGCCTTCTTAAAGAACAAGCAGATAATCAAAGTGTAATTACTATCTATCATGTCTATTATTAAACATGAAAAAGTCTAATGTTAGACTCGCACCTTCCAAGGTTCACTCATAAAGTCTGAATTCCAGGTTGTTGTTAGCGTTGATAACTTGGAAGAACTTCGAGTCAGTAGCTGTTGTTCAATAACTGTCTATGGAAGCTGATTGAGCACTTCTATTACTACTATTTATCAGTTTAATACACTTAAGGTAAATCAGACGAGCACTTTTCATTGTGTAATATGCACATATGAGAAGCCATTCTGAAATACTTGTTCTCCTGCAAACTTAATTTTGCCTTCATGTGAAATAGTGCTGCAGTAAGGTCACACCCTTAGTGTTGTTGCTGTTTCTCTGGCTTATTGTTCCAGTTTGCTTTCTCCTTTATCTTTTCACTTCTCCTTTCTGCTTGAGTGTTTCTCATGTTTCTTTCTCATGCATTTCTCTTTCTGCCTCTTTTCCTCCCATGGCCATGTCTAACATGCAAAGAATGGATTAATGCAACCTGATTTTTTAATTTGGTCTTCTAGTTACAACTGTAGTCCTGTTGTAGCAGGCTGCCTGATACACCTGTAGTTGGCTTTTGACCCTCAGTTTTGGAACAAGGTAGCTATTTCATAGGAGAGGTTGAAAGCTGCATCTACCTAAGTTTCATGTAACTTTTGTTATACTGGTGTAATATAAGCCTTTTTAGCACTTTCAAGAGTTATGTTGATATAAAAGTAGTTGTATGTGTCTGCTTAGTGGGATTATAGACAATGACACCAGATGAACTGTGTTTGTTTTGGTGGCAGCCAAACCATTTCTGTTTAGCAGTGTGATTTTGTTGTTTCAGCCTAAGTTTACACTTTAACATAGTCAAACATAGCTTTCTGTGTCTATTCATGCTGCCTAAAATAGTAATTTATTCTCTTTACATGTTAAAAGCAAGCACACCAAAATTGCAGTTGTTATACTGAGTGTATTAGGTGCTTCTTGGGGACTCTGCCCTTCTCTACCCATTATCTGTACTGAGAGAGTCTGAACTGGTGATACCTAGTGCTAGTAAGCGTAGACCTCCTGTGTATTTAGCAAGTGTGTATACAGAATTCCTTGTTCTTGCTTTCTGCCTCCTTTGGCTTCTTAAATTGGAACCTAAATTTGTTCCCTACTAGCTGTTGGTTGGTGTGTTGCCAGCTCTGATGTGTATTTTCTTCTTCTACCTTGGCATGGAACAAGTTCAAACATTGGCAGTTGTCTGAGTTTCTTTCTGTGGTATTTGGAGTTCTGAAATCTTTAAGTTTGTGAGGATCTTTGTTCTTGAAATTATGTTGATGCAGTCACAGAGGCTATCAGCAGTCAGGATGCTTCCATGACTTCCCCTCCATGCAATTTGGAGGGGTTTTATTAACCTCTTTTTCTTACCACTGAGTTCTAGATGAAACTATTTAAATAATCCTTAATTTGTAAGTATCTGACTCTTCATTAAAATGGAGATTATTTTATCAAGATGATGTAAGTTGAGTGGGTTCACAATGTTATGAATGCTACTATACCTTTCACAGAAACATTTTAATCTGACTGAAAATAAAGCTGCGGGCATCAATCAACTCTGTCTTTTAAGCTTACTAATTTGCACATAAGATCATGTTTTAGACAGTAGAGGGAGCTCAAAAGTAATTTTTTGTGTTGTTGGTTTTTATTATCAAGCATGGTGTCTCAGATTAACCCATGTATCTCAACTTAAAAATCCAAAAAGAAAAAGGTGTTTGCTGATCATTACAATTAGACTGGTTAATTTTATCACTTTGTTTTTCTGAACAGGAAGCAATGCATCAGGGAATACTGGCTCAGCACAAACTAATCCAGGAGTACTTGGAATGGGAGGAGGTGCAAGTGTATTACCTGCCTTTGAGTACAGAGGCACTTGGATACCTATCCTGAATGTAACAGTACAAGGCAGTGCTAAAGCTACATAGTAAGTACCTCTTTCTTTTTGAAAGTGTATATGATTTTATTTCCAACTTAATGGTTTAAGGATTTTTTTGATTAGTGAATATGGAGGTCTTAATTGGTGTTGAGGTATGTTACGGATTGGTTTTTTTGGTGGCATCGTGAGGTGTTCTGTTTTTTTGCTGTCTTGTCCGAATGCTCTGGATTCTGACCCAAATATCCCATATGGCTTTTGCATCTGTTGGATTTTTTTTTTTTTCCTACCATACTGTTGCTGTATTAACTCTTCACTTTTAGGCCTTGTTATAGTATATAACAAATTTAGAGTATCTTTTGCTGCGTTGTGTAATGGTAAATATTACGAGCATTAGGATATCGCAGTATAAAACCTGTAGACAAAGGTTAGATTTTGAATGCTTCTTAGAATGAGCAATTATTTTGTCATGACCTTGTATAACAGAGATTTTATTCCAAGTTTAGGGCTGTGAATATTATGTTACTTTTGAAGTACTGGAAGTTTTTTCCTGTCAGTCATGAGCATTGAGGGTCAGTCTCTTCCAAATTGGAAGTCATTTGTGCTGCCTGTGAAATTTTGGCAAAAGAAAGCAGAAAATAGTCTGGATCCCAGTACTTTTTTAAGGTAGAAACTCCTTTATGTTCCTTTGAAACGCAGGGCAAATTCATCCTCAGATTTCAGTAGTTCAGTGTGTATGCATTGACTTCTGTTCCAGCAGTGGCCATGAATGTTTTTTTAGGTTACCTGACTGTTTTCAGGAAAAAAAGTGGGTGAAATGTTTGCATTCTTTTTATTTCTGTTTTAAGTTTATGGAATTGTCACCAGTGTGTCTTGTCAACAATTTTCTCTTACCATGTTCTTGTAAGGAGATGACTAACTGTAACTGTAGGGTCACTTCCTAGCATTGATTCTCTCTTCTGCCATTAAATGTTCATACAATGGCCATACCTTACGCTTTTACACAGTGATGTAATTAGAGATAGGAATTGTGAACAGAGCTAGCAGAGGCCTTTTTGACAGTGTGGGCCTGTCTCTTCACAGACCACTATGCCTTGTCTTCCTCTTTACGTGAGGAAGAAAGTGTCTTTAAGAGGAATAGACACAAACTATTCAAAGTTTTTCCTGGCCATTCCAATGTAACTGTAACAACTCACTTCATTTATTCAGTAGTTTTCTTTCCTGTCTCTGAATGTAGGAGTACCTGACCTCTACCTCACACATACATTGTAATGATAAAACCCATTAATAATTTTAATTAGAGACGTATGTATGTACACACTTATTTGTAAATGGAGGGTGAAATGTTCACTGTATGATTTCCTTATACTGCCTATGCTCAGAGATATCTAAGGCAGCCATCTTCAGGAAATCAGAGGGAATAACTGAAGTGTTACATGTTTGGGAGAATGAAAATTCTTTGTGCAGTAAAGGGTGGTGGTGGCACTACAGTTTAAAAGTGTCTTTGGTATATTGCAGCTGGAATGCCTAGTCTTCTTAAGAATGGTTTGTAGAGCAAATGATTATGTAGTGGTTGTTGGGGTAGCAGGTAGTTCTTGTAACAGGCTGTCTAATAGGCTGTGTAAGTGCTGCTCCCATAGAAGCTACATTCTCTTTCCTGTTGGATTTATAACTCAGTGGTTCTTTGTGCTTTTAAGGTAAAATACAAATAAAAGTGACAATGAGGCTGCAGTTCCAGCATAGTGATGTTTTAAGGGTGTGGTTTTCAGCAGTAAATCATCTAGACATTTCCTCTTTGTATAAATAACTTCCACTGTTTACCTATGCATGTAGATTATGAATATTTTGTCATATATTATCTTACTGTGACCGGCTTTTCCGGTCATATGGACTCAGAGATAACGGTGATGGAATGTCTGAGTTCTTCTCAATTTGTTGTATTTGTAGTCATGACTTTCTGACCTATTTCCTCTGTTGTTCCTGTGTACTTGAGTTCTTCTGAATAATAGGTTCTGTTGCAGTGGCTTTAAGGAAAATAATAAGTAGAACAATTCATTCAGTGGTGCTTGCTTACATGTTAATTTAAAAAAATATTTATTTGCCAATATAAATACTTTACTCAGGGTTTGTACTCTTTCATTTACTGTTTTATTTAGTGACTCATTTACTCTTTTACTTAATTACTTAATTAAATAGGTTATTTTCTTGAGTTGATACAGATCTTGAAGGATGGCATTTGGGGCCGGTTTGTACTTAACGTTCATGTGGAATCCTGTTTTCTGCTTTTAATCACAGTGGTGCTGTTATACACTTACTTGTCATGCTTTCCATTTTTCAGTTTGGAAATGCTGGACAAAGTAGAGCCACCCACAATTCCTGAAGGCTATGCCATGTCGGTGGCATTTCACTGTTTACTGGATCTTGTCCGTGGTATCACTACCATGATTGAAGGAGAGTTGGGAGAGCCAGAAACAGTCGGTCAAACCACAACAGAGACAGGTTCATTACCAGCACAGTCATCTCCAGAGCAGCAAGACTTGCAGTCTGTATCTGACCAATCAGAGAAAGAACTGGGTATGAAAATACAGCAGTTTTACATAAAGCAGGTTGAAATGGTTCATGTTTTGTTGCTTAGATTTATTGTTTCTAAACCACATGTAAAATTTTTGTTGTTTTTTTATTTATTTAAATGAAACAGCAGTAGTCTTTAAAAAAATTACTTAATTTAGTGCTTCTGTCCTACAGCACCTTAGCTATAGACTCCTTAGGGTGTATTAATACTGTTTTACGTGGATGTATGTGGAATAATGAGGGAGAAATGACAGACATTCTGCTCTCCAGAACTACTGTTCTGCCTTCCTGTGTCCTTAATTCTGTCTGACACTGAGATCCAAGGTCACATGAGGCAACCTGACTGAGAGAAACGTTGCAGTTACAGCACATTAAAGAACAAAAATGCATTTCTAGCAACAAGACAAAAAAGATTCTTTAATGGCGAGATTTTAAAGAAGACAGAAGTAGTTAGGGAAGAACTTGTTTAAATGCAAAAGTAATAGGAACTGAGGCTCGTGTTTGTGCAACGTATGGGGAGCCTATATACGTCCGTACAGAAAGACTTGGCTCTCGGGAGGGGTTTTGGCTGGCGTGTCAGCTGCGGGGGCTGCGGCGCCGGGAGCCACCGCAGCCCGGGCGGGGCGGGCGCGGAGCGCGGAGCTCTCCAGGGTCCTGCAGGCACCGCCCGCCCCGCCCCGGGTCTGGGCGTGAGACCGGCAGGTGGGAGGTCGGGCAGACCTGTAGTTTTTCCCCATTAAAGAAATGGGAAACAAAACCAAAAAAACAAACCAGAAAGGGGAATTATAAATACCAGCGGAGAGTGTTTTTCCTTTACTGCAAAATTTCAGTGGGTTACTTGTCCCACATTTATGCAGTTCTGAATATTTACTTTTACAAAAAGTTATTAAAAGTAGTTATATATACACCTTACTGAGGTTTCTTTGGTGTAATTTAGACTTAAGCAATGCCTCGGTGAAATATCTTACTTCAGCAATGTTACTTTAAATGCAGCAGTTGAAATAGTACTAGTGTGTGTGTTTGTGTATACACATACATCTTAAAAGGTACAGTAGAAAGCATTTTGTTTGTCATACAATTGAAAGTTGTTGAATAAAAGACTGTGTTTCTGCTATAAAAAAGTATATGTATTTCAAGTTAGCAGAGCTGTCTGGGAAGAAATGGTGAATGCATGTTGGTGTGGTCTTCTGGCTGCTTTATCCCTCCTGCTTGATGCAAGGTATTTGGTCTTTCATTTCTCTTGATTTTTCGAATGAGATTCCTGGCTATATTTTGAACTGACTTTTGGTAGCAGTCAAATTGACAGTTGTACAAGAGAACACTGCTGTTCATGGCAGCTGAGTAGACAGGCTTGTGGGTTAGTGATGGCTATAGAGAAAATGGCAGAGAAGTCTCCAGAAGTCTAGCATCAGCCTTCAATATATTTCAACAGAAAACAATAAAATACATTTTCAAAGGCTTTCATTGAAACTATTTAGATTATTTTCATCCCTTTTTACTATGACTAACACATTGAAGTGATTCTACCCATGCCCTGATTACTGTTGATAAGTGACATTTAATAATGTCTCAGTAGTTGTTAGTATTATGCAGTCTTTGAAGTGGAAATGGTGTTTTCTAGGTAATAACTTTGGTAACTTAAAAGTCTCTTTCAAAGAGACAATTGTTATCAAACACAATTTTCTGAAATCGCTGTTAAATACCTCCTTATAATCTCCTTTGCTAAGTCCTTCAGAACTAAAGTTTTATGGGAAGTGGTTCTGAATAATTCTATGGGTTGGTTATGCTTGCTCTTCAATATTTGTAGGGTTGACAGGTTTAAAGTATGCCTTGTTGTTGCATTCAGTTTTGGTTAGGTTGATTAATTCTTAATAAATGATGTGTACTCTTTCAGCACTGATGAAGCTGCCACTGAAAATATTCTAAAAGCAGAACTAACTATGGCTGCACTTTGTGGAAAACTGGGTCTTGTAACATCAAGAGATGCCTTTATCACTGCCATTTGCAAAGGATCCTTGCCTCCTCACTATGCTCTTACTGTATTAAACAGCACAACTGCAGCTTTGTCCAGCAAATGTGAGTAAATAGGTTTTCCTCTATTGTATTTCTGTGCATTGTCCTCTAAACACAAATTTTCTCAGGATATAATTGCAAAGATATGCAACTGTAGTGTTTGGCTATACTAGATTATGTTAGTATCCTCAGACATGTTCTAGACTTCCTGCTTTCCAGAACTGGTTAGTCTTGCAGCATCTGCTGGGTGTAATTCTAGTCAACCTAAAACTTCCTGAATGCTTAGCATATGTTAGAAGTTAATATTCTAAGGAGATCTGTCTATCATCCTGAAGACCTGTTAGAATATGTAATTAAGGCATTCAAAGTCTGAAAAGAAAAGGCCTCTGGGTAACTCAGATATTTAACAGTTGGCTAGAACATCTGCATTCATGGTGTACTGCGTTTTTTTCTGCAGTTGTCTGTTGATGGTAATACTTACTGCATAAATGGAAGATCTTAAGTTCTGGGCTCTGTTCAGCTTACAAGAAGTTGGATTAATGCCTCCCATATCCTGAGAGAATGTTGTAATTGGTGGGATATGCCAGTTGCAGATGTACTCTAATTTTGAAAATTAATTACTGTATATTGAAAAATGCAACTACCTGGAGAATATGCAGATACAAAACAAAAATACCTTAATTTGGGAATAAGGAGCAACACCTTTACTCTACCCTGCAAGCTAAGTATGTTATTAGATCATAAGTCCGTGACGCAGTGCACATGACTGAGCTACACAAACCTCTGAAAATGAAGCTATGAACTTCAGTTGTTTTATATAGGTTGCTCGTCTTTAAACAGGTGAATTATTAAATGGGTGTCCTGAAGGCCTTTATTGGAAAAAAAAAACCCATGACATAGCATTTATGACACCTGCATTTTCTGAGTTCTCTAATAGAGTGGTAGCACACAGTGATACTATTTACACACAGTTACCACAGGAAACTGAGTTGAGACATAGCAGGATGCATGTATCTTCACACAGGTATTTCAGTCTCAACATAAAATGTATTAATCTATTGCAAGCAATCTCATAGTTAGCAGAGGGAGTAATTACTGGCTCACTTAACTCCTTAAGGCAATGACATGATAATCTAAATATAACTAAAGGTGTCAAAGTGACCTTAAAACTAATACTGTGAAAAAATTCTCTGGAGTCTCTGGCAGAAGGTCTTTTTTGCTACAAGTAAGTACTGGATTTTAAATTTAGATTTTTTTTCTCTTCAATTTTCTTCTAGCGTATTCCATTCAGGGACAGAATGTTCAAATGATCAGTCCCTCGAGTGAGTCTCATCAGCAGGTTGTGGCAGTAGGGCAACCCTTAGCTCTTCAGCCACAAGGAACAGTAATGGTAAGTACAACTTGTAAGTCATCTCATCCTGCTTAGCTGCTTCTTTCTGCATCTCGGTGGGCCTCAAAAATAGGCAACAGATAAACAGCGTGCTTATAAACAATAGTTATCTGAAATGTTATCCATTCCATTTTAAAAACCCGAGGTCTCAGCTCTGTTATCTGCCTGTTCGTGAAGACTCACTTAATATGTGGGGCTTTTTAAGATAAGTCTCTGAATGGTCTGAGGGCGTTTAGATTGGACATTAAGAAGAATTTCTTGACTGAAATGGTGGTCAGGCACTGGAACAGCCTGCCCAGGGAGGTGTTTCAATCACCATCCTTGGAGGTATTCAAGAAGTGTGTAGATGTGGAACTTCAGGGCAGTCTCTAGTGACCGAGATTATAGGGTGTGGTTTTTCTGTGGGTGTTATTTGGTTTGTGTGTGTTTGGAATTTTGTTGTGGGGGGGGGGTTGGGTGGTGTGTTGTGTGGTGGTTTTTTTTGGTTGGTTGGTTTTTGGGGTGTTTTGGGTTTTTTTTTTCTTTCAGAGGTTCTTTCTAACCATGACTATTCTGTGATTCTGATTTTTTTTGAGAAGATGCACTTAAAGCTGAAATACTTGAACTTGTGTCTTTCATAATGATGTGAAACTGGGAGGAGAGGGCAATGAAAATCATGTTCAACCCCAGCATAAGACTGAGGGAAGGAGAGATGCTGAAGTACTTCTCTAAAAAAGATACATTGCACCCATAATATAATATTTAAGCTATTTAGTAAAAAGTCTGCAACTTTTCTAGAAATGCTATCATTGCAGAATAAGAAACATTTTGTGGTTTTTGGTTGTTGTTTTGTTGGGTTTTTTTTTAGCTGACTTCAAAAAATATCCAGTGTATGAGGACATTACTCAACTTAGCTCACTGCCATGGAGCTGTTCTTGGTACATCGTGGCAACTTGTCCTGGCTACTCTTCAGGTATAATAGGAAATATTTATGCCTTGCTTTTTTGCCATAATTTGGTTTTGAGATTTTATGTGAGCAATAGACTAAGGTGTAATTTGAATTGCCTTGATAAAGTTCTTTAGCATTTCCCTTGAATTCTGTTTGGCTGGAAGGGTGATGGCTAGCTTGGGTACAGTGTTCACTTCCTCTCTGCCAGAAACACTTTTCTGCTGAAAATGATCCTGTTGTGTTTCAGCATCTTGTATGGATTCTAGGACTGAAGCCTGGTGTTGGAGGTGCATTAAAACCTGGAAGAGCTGTAGAAGGACCCAGCACAGTAAGTATGATTCTTTCTCTCCCAGTTAATGATGATGCAGCATTTTCTGTTGCAATCTACAGGACGTATTTCTGTCTCTTTTTCAAGGTTCTGACTACAGCAGTTATGACTGATCTGCCAGTTATATCCAGCATACTCTCAAGGCTTTTTGAAAGCTCACAGTAAGAAACCTTACCTTATAATTAAAATAATGTATGTATGTCAAACTCAGCAGTGTTTTGATAGCTGTTATTTTCCAGGTACCTTGACGATGTGTCTTTACATCACTTAATAAATGCCCTTTGCTCCTTGTCTCTGGAAGCAATGGATATGGCCTATGGAAACAATAAGGTATAAAAAGAGTTATTTATTTTCTTCTTAGATGTTTTTGTGAAACAGGAAGAAGACTTGTACATTTATCCTTTAACTATTTCTAATATTTAGACAGTAATGCGTTGAATAGTTTAGAGTAAAAGAATAAATTATTAACCAGAGAATGTCTTATTTATAATGGTTCATACGATTACTAAATTCTCAGAATATTCTCATTGTGCTGTTATGTTTTTTGTTAACTAAGGAATGTCATGTGTTTCCATTAATCAGATTGTGGTTGGGTAAAACTTCTAAAGTACTTTCTTGTCATTTCAGAGGTTAGGGATTCTGAATAGCACAATATGCTCTGTGAGGTGTTTGGTTTTGTTTCAAATTTAATTTATAATATACTTCAGAAAAAGTCACAAATATCACAAACATTTGCATATGTATTTGCTGAATGGGAAATGTATTGTATTTCTGCGGGGCATTTATGAAGTGGTTGGATAATAAAGCATAAGGGATTTCTTAAATGAAAAATACTCCAGAATTTTTGTTCATATATAACTTTAACTTCACAAGTTGTGATGGGAAAAAGGCTATTTTGCTAGTAAAATATGTTATAAACTGATCGGAGGGAGTTCTGTGTAAAAAGAGTTTTGAAAGGAATGTCATTTCTTTGGTTATTGTCAAGCTTGGAGAAAACTATAAAAAATATGAAAGAAGTATTCTTCACAGTAGGCTGTTGCTACCCCCTTGTGGCTTCTCATGAAGTACTGCAGATGCTGTGGAAACTTCCAGCCACGCTACCTAAGATGTTCTGACAGCGATCACAGCCTATGAAACACAGTAGCTCAAGGAGATTCGTTGCACCTTAATTTATAAATTATAATGTAGCAAAAGACTCTAACATTGTCTAACTTACCTCTAAGTCGTGTGTTCAAATTTTGTTTCGTTAAGGAACCATCGCTTTTTGCTGTGGCTAAATTACTGGAAACAGGACTAGTTAACATGCACAGGATTGAGATTCTTTGGAGACCTCTGACCGGTCATCTTCTGGAGGTAAATAATTGCTTTTAGCAGTTGTATTAGAATTTAGTTTGTATTATTGAAGATCTTGTGGAAATGCATTTTTCAACTGTAATTTTAAAAAATAAATATCTAAATTCTTTGGCTTATGCATTTTGGTTTTGTAACTTGAATACATCACAATTTGAATTTTAAACTGAATGTATATATTTACATTCCAGTATTTTAATATCTCTAATTGACTTTCTATTTATGGTGATGTCAATCTTCATAAGTTTTAAACATGGCAATGTTTAAAATTATCAACTTATATACTTCCTGTATGTAATATAATTAAGGTAACAAAACCAAATCTGGCTTAGGATTCACATAGTATAAATATTTAGGAAGATTATAAGATACATTTCTGTGTCCTTGTCAGATAGATTGAATCATCAGATTTGCTATCAAAAGGCTTGTTTTAAAAATGTTTAAGCTAACATTTTGAATGGTGTCTTTAAGTGAATACTAAACAAATACAAAAACTAGGTGTCATAATCCTATTTCAATTTCTTAAGTATTTTAACTTCAAGATGAAAAATACACTCCATCAAGGAAAAATAAAATCTTACATTTTGAATTTGAAAATAAAACCAGGTGACAGAATGTAATTGTAAAGTCTTAATCCTCTACACAGGTATGTAGAAGACTGAAATGCAAGAACAGGGTTCAATTTAAAGTGGGTAAAGGAGAAAGCTTTTCTTCCTCATTTTCCAGAAAATACCAGATGCTTCCTTAGAACCACTGCATTATTTCAAACAGTATTAAAGATTTGCCATCTCTAGCCTTATTTGTGGAGGTCATCTCTGCATAATCCTTAATCTAGAAGAAGAAATTTGGATATTTAGGAGTTTAAAGACTTAAAGCATGGGCATCTCTTTCTGTTGTTTGGTTGGTTGGGTTTTTTTCCCCTCTAAGACAGTAGGGCTCATTGTTCACATTTTGAGATTGTGTTTTCATCTAGTAATCAGTCTGTTTCAGTCTGCTATCCATTTTGGGTATTTGCCACTGTTTTTGTGAGAAATACACTTTCAATTTCTTTTAAAGCACTGCCTTATTTCCTTTTAAAATATAAGTCATCGAGGTACAATAAGGAGGGATAAAACACCAGCTGCAAATTTGATTATACACAACCTGAGGGAAGAATTCATTCCTTCTCTCTGGAACTGATTATCTGGTTAGATTCAGAGCATCATGAAGTAGTTCAAATTCTCTCCTTTTATATAAAGTAACAAAAAATTACATAATTCAGGAGAGTAGCTATTTTCTGTCTGCATTTTTTAACATTAAGCTAGCTCTTCTGCACCGTCTCCTTTCCCATTTGGCTAGTGGTTGGTAGGGGACTGATCCACTAACCAAAACCATAAACCTTCCTTCTGATCCTGCCTTTGGGTTCTCACACTATCTGAGCTAGGGCTGGAAGTGCAGGTGGAAATAATAATGTAGAGGTCAATGAACCTGTAGACTTACTTGTCTGAGGTTAATGTTATCAGGTATGGGAGTATCTATGCAAAGGATTTGCACAATGTTTTTAATTACTCTGTTCTAAAAAAAGCAATTGGCAAAATTATAGGTTTAGATACTTAGGAGACAAAAAGAAATTAAGACATACATTTGAAACTTAAACTTGATATTGTGTTTGTTTTATCAAATTTTTGGAATAATGGAATATAAAGCTTATTTTACATTCCCCATGTAGTTACTCTTTGCGTTTGAGAATATAGAAGAGCAGACACTTTCTGTGCTGGCTGCTGTCATGCTTCCTTGCTTGATAATGTTAAGCAGCACATGAAAATTGCAACTTTAAATTTTATACTAAACCTGAGAGTTTCAGGCATTTGTTGCCTGTTTGTTGCTTTTTAATTAATCATTTTCTGAATTAGCAGTTAGTATATTCATTTTGGAAAATGTATTGGCTTGAAGTTCTGTGGTTTTCATTATGTTTCCTTCTGTGTCTTTCACTGCTTCCTATTGCTTCCTTATTCAGAAGGTATGTCTGTCCAAAATATAAGATTTTTTTAAACATTAAACTTAATCTTATCATCTTGGTATTTATTGTATTGTTGTTAAAAATTGTTATAGTACTGTACATAAATTCTAATGTAATTAAAATACCCATTTCTGTATATTATATATATCACAATCTTGGTTAAATAAAAGTGACTTTAAGCAACAGGTTTCTTTGTGTTCAGGTCTGTCAGCATCCAAACTCCAGAATGAGAGAATGGGGAGCAGAAGCTTTAACTTCTCTCATTAAAGCAGGACTGACATTCAGCCATGATCCTCCATTATCTCAAAATCAGGTAAAATAAATCTTCCTTTTATAGAACTTCAAATTAACATGAAATAAAATCTTCCCTAGAGGAAGTTTTCTACTGTTCATTTTGATTTGAGGCTTTCATAAAGCAACTTCACTATTGAGTTTGTAAAGCCTACAGCTGTAGCATTCAGATGTAACTATTCTGAATCACCTCATGCATTCTAATAAACTACCCTAATTCCTTTTTAAAAATGCATAACAAAGAGTGGTGATACTTTTGCATATTATGTCCATTTGTTGGAATAAATTATGGGTCACCCTCATGACTGCAAAACATTTCCTAAATGTTTAGAATTAAATATGTGATGTGGTAACAGGTAAAAAATAAATTGTCTAAACCTTCTAAATCACAGCTGTTCAATCCATTATTAATAAAACTTTCTAATATTTTAACCAAAGTTCAATAGATAATTTTTCCAAGGTCTCTTTAGTAGGAAGCTGAGTCTAGCACTGCTGAGTGAATATAAAGTTGCATGATGGTTTTTATGCATCTGTGGTGGTGTGCTGTAGCTACTTCCTGAGGTACCTGGAGACCAGGTGAGGGGAAAAAGAGGAAAAACTGTAGACTTCCT